TTAAACAATTTATTGATTATATATATATTTTAAAAACTCATCGCTGTATTTCTTTTATATTTATTTGTATGATATATGCAAACCTAATGTACATTTTAAATATTTTTATTATAATTCTATCTTGAAAAACTAATTACTGTGTTTCATTTTTTGTTATGATATGCAAACGTATATTTAAAAAAATGTATTGAATATAATTTTATCTCGAGAAACTCGTTACTCTATTTCATTTATATTTAACTTTCTGTCATGATATATGCAAACTCAAATATTTTTTTAATATGTATTGATTATAATTTTATCTTGTAAAGCTGCATTTTATGTTTTAAAAAGCTACAAAATTTGTATTTGTGAATACAGTATACTCATAGTTTGTGTAAATTAAAATATAAAATACAATTAGGAAATGTTACATATATTTTATTCATCATATGTTCTCATATTTATTGTTTTATTTTTGTAAAGTGTTTTTGTGAAATTAGAATTTTGTCAGCATGTAATACCTTTTGCCTCCTCAATATTAAATTCCTTATTAAAAGGAACATGGATTAATCCGTGATGCATTCATTCTTCCAGTGCATTGCGTGGAGCCGCCGCTAACGGGCCCCTGTCGCGCAAGCTTCACTAACTGGTACTTCAATCCGTATGAACAGCACTGTAATCGCTTCAACTACGGCGGCTGTGATGGGAACGAAAACCGCTTCGACACGGAGGACAAGTGCATGCGGTCGTGCTCTGGAGTGACCGGTGAGTTTTACTGTATTATTACTCAACATGGAATCAAAATGGACTGTCTTTTCTCATGTGAAGTATTCATTCGTGCATGCTATTGTGAAAAAAAACTTTGATTAAATATGAATTTGAAAATATTTTTAAAGTGAATTTTCTCTGATGTTGTTTCATAGCTGGTCACTGTGTCATGCAAAGAAGATTTTTATTAAGAAAACATGAGACTGTGAACTTACTGAGGTCGTTTTTCTCCTGCAATCATGCATCTTTTCTTTGTATTTCAGAGTCTGATGCGTTTGCCAGACGAGCTCATTTTAAGAAGCAAGAGAGCAAAGACGAAACGGGTAACGCGCAGGCAAAACACGCTTAAAGGAACACTCCACTATTTTTGAAAATAGGCTCATATTACAACTCCTCTAGAGTTAAACAGTTGAGTTTTACCGTTTTCGAATCCATTCAGCCGATCTCCGGGTCTGGCGGTAGCACTTTTAGCTTAGCTTAGCATAGATCATTGAATCTGATTAGACCGTTAGCATCTCGCTCAAAAATGACAAAAGGGTTTCTAGTTCCTAGCCATATCGGCCTAGAAAATCACAACTTTTCATTTTCCGTCGGTCTTAGTACACGATGTAACTACAGAAGAGTCCAGTTTTAAATAGGAAAAATATAGAAACTCTATGGTCATTTTTGAGCGAGATGCTAACGGTCTAATCAGATTCAATGATCTATGCTAAGCTAAGCTAAAAGTGCTACCGCCAGACCCGGAGATCGGCTGAATGGATTCGAAAACGTAAAAACTCAACTGTTTAACTCTAGGGGAGTCGGAATATGAGCCTATTTTCAAAAATAGTGGCGTGTTCCTTTAATAATCAACAGCAGAAATATAATTCCTTGCATGCTTTCCTTTAAAAGATGAATGTTGAGTGTAAGGGAAATGAGTCATAAATTTAACCGAAGTACCGTGACCTATTACTCAGTGTCTGTTTCAGTGTTATTTTAATATCATTGAGATATGATCATAGTTTATATTTTTAATCAGGTTTTTTTTTTGTTACATTTTTAGTCATTTTGATGGATTCACCCTAGCTACTGCCTAGCTACATGTTAGCAACCACCCAAAATACCCTAGCAACCAACCAGAACACCCTTGCAACCACATAGCAACACCCTAGCAATGACCTAGAATAACCTAGCAACTGCCAAGCAACACCTTATCAACCACATAGCAATGCCCTTGCAACCACCCAGAACAACATAGAAACCGCATAGCAACCACCCGCCATACCCTTGCAACTGCCTAGCAGCCACTCTGAAAACTTTAGCAAGAGACCAGTGCTGAATTTTGCCATGGCAAGCATCATTTACATTTTCTTCAGAAAATGTATCTATCTAGTTATTATTATTATTATTATTACTATGTATATATATGTATGTGTGCATGTGTGTGTGAGTGTGTGTGAGTGTGTGTGAGTGTGTGTGTGTGTGTATACATTTCTTTTAAAAAAATTTAACGAAAACGATAAAGATATTTTACAACAACATGAATGAAATGAAAGTGGGAAATGTTGCCCTGCCATATAGCTGAAATAAAATGTTTATTTATTTATATTTTTTATATTTATATTATTATTATTTTATAATTTTCTTAATTTTTAAATATATTTTTATATAATTAT